CCTGCTTGTGTTCCCTCTCTCGCTGTGTCTCTCTCTCTATCAAATAAATAAATAAAATCTTAAAAAAAAAATGTTGTAAACAGTTACACAGTGCAGCAAGTAGCCTGAGTCCATCCATAATGGCTGTACCCAATTTTGACATCATGTTATGGGTAAATGTGCACTGGAAAATAAACCAAAGAAACACAATATATCTTATACTTCTGTGAACTGTGTTTTGTGGATAACTTCAGTTTTCCAAAAGGCTGATATATTTCAATAATTTGACTACATCAGTGTTAATTCTGAGTTGGCAGAGGTAGCTTAATCAACTACCATTATGTTTTGGTACTAAGGGATATATCTTTCAAGGTTATTGAAATGCAATAAATAAATAAATAAATAAATAATTTTAAAAATTTCTCATACCCTTTGTATTTCACCTTTGCTTTTACTTCTCTTTTATTTCTCAACTTATTTACTTGAGTTCTCTTTCTTTTTGATGAGCATAGATAAAGGTTTATTAATTTTGTTTATTTCTTCAAAGAACGTCTTTTGGTTTCATTGATTTTTTGTTGTTGCTGTTTTTTAGTCTTCTTTTCATCTATTTTTTTCTAGTCTTTATTATTTTCTATTTTCTACTGGCTTTGGGCTCCTTTCCTTTTTCTTTCTAGTTCTCATAGGCAGAAATTTATTTATTTAATGTTTTTCTTTGTTTTTTGAGATAGGCATTTATTACTATTAACTACCCTCTTTAAACTGTGTTCACTGCACTCTTGATTTTGGACCTCTGTGGGAACAGTTTGAAAAGCACCTGGGATATACACAAATATTTATTGGCTAATCTTAGAACATGTGTCAAAAGGGCAAGGATTTGCAGATTTCTCCAGAAATAAAAGTGCTGATGGACACCATTTATATCCCCCTCGTCCAGCCTTGAAAGCTAGATGATCGCAAGAGCCAGCACTAACATTTATTTTATTTTATTTATTTGACAGAGAGACAGCGAAAGCAGTTACACAAGCAGGAGGAGTGGGAAAGGGAGAAGTAGGCTTCCCACCGAGCAGGGAGCCTGATGTGGGGTTCAATTCCAGGACCCTGGGATCATGACCTGAGCTAAAAGCAGATGCTTAATGACTAAGCCACCCAGGCGCCCCAGCACTAACATTTTCTATCTACTTTGCTACCACCTCATGCCCTGCCCCAGCATTTTCTTACACACACTCAATCAAACATGCCTGCCTTGACAAATGTTGCTCCAATGTGACTCCTGCCATAACAGCAGGCAGTCCAGGCCAGGACCAGTAAAACTCTAAAGTGAGTCCTACTCCAGTAAGGGGGGTCAGATAAGCCTTCCCAGCAGCATGTCTATAGTTCACAAAGCCAGGCCTCCTATCTACCTGTTCAGGGAGCAAGCCCCACCATTTCATGTACGTGCATCTGTAGCAGAGAGGCTAGTTGCAGACTGCCAGGCTGATTGCCAAGCCTTGCCCACCAGTGAGTCCATAATAACCACAAACAGACCTCTTAACTGTGCAGGGAGTAAACCTTGCCCAGTGCATACATAGCAGGAAAAGTGGGTCATTGTAGCCAGTTTGACTGAAGGCAATCATGACTCAATCACAAGAGAAGGGTATGAGAAGTCTACACAAAGGACACCTCTGGATCTTACATTCTGGTGACTAGGGGAAATTGCACTGAAGTGAACGAATAAATTCAAGACAAGACTACTACTTTCAAGAAGAGGAGACATACATGACCTAACACAGAGAAACAGGGAGTTAGACAAATAAGAGAATAAAGGGCTGTGTCCCAAATGAAAGAACAAGACAAAAATCACAGTAAAAGAGCTATAGGAAGGGAAGTTAAGCAATATGCCCAACAAAGAATTCAAAGTAATGGTCATAAAGATAGTCAGTGGATTTGAGAAAAGAGTAGATGAAGTCAGTGAGAACTTCAACAGAGATAGGAAATACAAGAAAGAACCAGACAAAGATGAAGACTTCAACACCTCAAATAAAAAAAGGTACCAAAGGGAATCAATAGCAGATTAGAGGATTCAGAATGGATCACCTATCTGGAAGATAGGGTAATGGACAGCAACCAAGATGAAAACAAAATAAAAAAGAATATGGGTGATGGGTATTAAGGAGGATGCTTACTGTGATGAGCACTGGTTGTTATATGTAAGTGATGAATCACTAAATTCTACTTCTGAAGCCAATATTACACTATATGTTAACTAACAAGAATTTTAATAATAATTAAAAAAGAATTAAAAAATGAGAATAGATTAAGGGAAATCAACAACATCCCCAAGGTTAATAACATTCACATTCTAGTGTTCCCAAAAGGAGAAGGGAGTGAGAGAAGGGAGCAGAAAATATATTTGAAGAAATAATAGTTGAAAACTTCTCGAATCTGTGAAAGGAAACAGACATCCATGTCTAGGAAGCACAGAGACCGCCTAAAAAAGATAACCCAAAGAGGTCACACCAAAATACATAATAATCAAAATGGCAAAAATAAAGTTGAAGCAACAAGGGAAAATGAAACAGTTACATACAAGGGAAACCCCATAAGGCTCTCAGCTGATTTTTTCAGCAGAAACTCAGCAGGCCAGAAGAGAGTGGCATATATTCAAAGTGCTGAAAGGAAAAACAAAAAAGTTGAATACTTAACCTGGCAAGGTTATTATTTAGAATGAAAGGAAAGATTGTTACCCTAATTAAAACAAAAAAAAAAAGGTTAACACAATTTATTACCCTGAACCAGCCTTATAAGAAATGTCAAAGGGAATACGTTAAGTGGAAAGAAAAGTCCATAATAAAAGTGAGAAAATTATAACAGGAAAAAATTTCACAAGTAAAACCAAACATATAGCAAAGTAGTAAACTTATCATTCATAAAGACATTATGAAGATTAAAACACAAAAGTAGTAAAATAAGTTGTATCTACAAAACTTAGTCAATGGAGGCAGAAAACAAAAAAAAGATGTAAAATATGGCATCATATACATAAAATATGAAAGTGGGAGTGAAAATTTATGCTTTTAGATTTTGTTTGAACTTAGGTGACCATCAACTTAGTGTAGAATGCTATACACATAAGATGTTATAGATAAATTTTATGTTACCACAAATAAAAAATCTGTAACAGATTCACAAAAAATAAAGTAGAAATCTTTATCACTAAAGAAAGCAATCAAACCACAAGGGAAGAGAAAACAACAAGAAGAAAGGAAAAGAGAACTACATAAACAACCACAGAGCAAATAACAAAATAAATGTACACCGTTCAATAATTAAAATGTAAATGCACTAGAGTTACCTGGGTGGCTCAGTCAGTTAAGCACCTGCCTTCAGCTCAGGTCATGATCCCAGGGTCCCATGATCAAGTTCTGCTCAGTGAGAAGCCAGCTTCTCCCTCTCCCTCTGCTTCTCCTCTAGCTTGTGTTTTCTCTCTCTCTGTCAAATAAATAAAGTATTTAAAAAAAGTAAATGCAATAAATGCTCCAACCAAAAAACAGGGTGAGAGATTGGATTTAGAAAAAAATATATATCTATATGGTGCCTACAAGAGATTCACTTCAGGCCTAGAGACATACACAGTGAAAGTGAAGGGATGGAAAAACAAACAAATAAAAGTGAAAAACAAGTGAGGACAGTAATATTTATATGAGACAAAATAGACTTTAACAGATAGGAAGAGACAAAGAAGGACACTACATGATGACAAAAGAATTGAAGAGGTTACTTTCAATGTTCTCCTCTAGGACTTTGATGGATTCTTGTCTCACATTGAGGTCTTTCATCCATTTTGAGTTTATCTTTGTGTATGGTGTTAGAGAATGGTCGAGATTCATTCTTCTGTATATAGCTGTCCAATTTTTCCAGCACCATTTATTGAAGAGACTGTCTTTTTCCCATTGCATATTTTTTCCTGCATTGTTGAAGATTATTTGACCATAGAGTTGAGGGTTCATTTCTGGACTCTCTATTCTGTTCCATTGGTCTATATGTCTGTTTTTGTGCCAGTACCATGTTGTCTTGGTGATCACTGCTTTGAAATATAGCTTG